TGCCAATTAAAATAACAATGGGTGACCTGTGCCAATTAAAATAACAATGGGTGACCTGTACCAATTAAAATAACAATGGGTGACCTGTGCCAATTAAAATAACAATGGGTGACCTGCCAATTAGAATAACAATGGGTGTGTAGCATGAGCTATCTAATCACCTGCGCCGCAAAGTGTCTCAGTATAGGCTAGGTTACAGATTAAACATATGGTGGCCTATCGGTCAAACTAGAACCCTAAACCCTAATAGTTATCTACTTAAACCCCTAAAACCTAATAGTTCTCTACCTAAACTCCTGAAACCTAATAGTTATCTACCTAAACCCCTAGAACCAAATAGCTATCTACCTAACCCCCTAAAACCTAATAGTTATCTACCAGAAACCCTAAAACCTAATAGTTATCTACCAGAAACCCTAAAACCTAATAGCTATCTACCTAAACCCCTAAAATATAGTATGTCTCACTAAACCCTAAACAGTAATATCTGACTGTTGCCTAATGTGCTCTTCTCCACCTCCAGCACACACAATCCGATTCACATAACACGTGTTCTGCAGCACATCTGTGTACACTCCGCAAAGATCACGTGTGCGCTGTGTGACGTACCGTCGTGGTAGCCTTTCATGTAAGTGTAGAAGCTCATGACGCCCGTTGTGGTCATGAGGTTGAAGGCGTGGGCCAATGTCTGGCACAGAACAAACAGACCGATGATCTGCCCTCTGTCAGTACCTACATAGGAGAACATGAGCGAAAAGAAAACAACCGCACAGTCAGAAGGAATCAAGGGAAGAAGGAATCTGTAGCATATCGCACAACAAGTACCGCAGACGTTAAAGGGTGTTGTGCAGGCAATACACGTCGGTGGGTTTAGGGATGCGCACATACACGCACGTACACGCACACCACATACAATTCGAAGCGAATGTGTACTCTCTCAGTGTAAGGCCGTCGACACATATGCACCAAAACGCACGAATAAAACCAGCCAACTGTACAGACATTTAGGCATGCATATACATATGCACACTCACACTCACACACCTGGCGGTGGATTGGCCTTGTATTCGTGTCATACATGTACATACACACACACACACACATATA